AGATAGATAGATAGATAGATAGATAGATAGATAGATAGATAGATAGATAGATAGATAGATAGATAGATAGATAGATAGATAGATAGATAGATAGAGCAACAAAAAGAAAGAAGAGAGGTGAGGGGTTTTTTTTCCAAACAGATGAAAGAGTCGGACGCGAAAGCCAAAGGAATTTCCCTCACTTCTCATCCGTCGCGGGGGGAGGGGTGGCTGCTGCTCGGGGCCTTTTCTCACTTTCGGACAGGCGAGGGCGCACAAGGACAGCGGAGGGTGCTGGAAACCCACAGTATGTCCCTCTCCTCTCTGTGAGACCACATGACACCGCCTATCTGTGACACACGATATGCATCCACATACATGCAGCCACACTCAGCCTCGCAGTTCGAAAATCGCACGTGTGGAGGCACCTCTGTTATAACCACCTGGATAAAGTAGCTCAGTGTGCTCAAAGAGCAATGTGATTAAGGAAGTCATCAGCCTCAGCTCTTTAAAATGTTGCATTTGAAGGTACGTTGATGTTTGAATGTTGTCCCCAAGCTGTAATTGTTTTTAAGTTATAGCACGAATGCCTGATATTTTTGATAGCTGGGAGTTTAGAAACAGTCACACCAGCTTTTAATAAAACTTTATTTGCTGCAACTGTGTTAAATAAATGTTTTGGCCACGTTGGTGCAGTGAAGATGTCTTTACACCTCAGAGGCAGAGTTCAAATGTGACCACTTCTAAACAGCAGCTACAAGCCCTGTGTGCAGCAGGTTTGCGCTCCCATTATCACCATTCATTGACTTTTTGCTGAAACACTGCACGTCTGGGGAACTGGAAAAACGGCCACTGCCGATATAAGAATCCAAAGAACCCCATGACAGTGTCATGCTTTTGTTTGGATTTCTTTCATTTGGAACAGCAAATGCTTTGCACACATGATCATACAAATTAGCAATGCAAATCACGGTACCACATTTCATAACTTGTTTGGGCATAAAGAATAAAGAGAATGGTTTCGGTTCAACGTTTCCTTTTTTTCATCTCTAATCGGCGTTTATCTAAACCCTGACCGCAAGACCTGACCTTTGGAGACTTTACTTGACTCCACTTAAGATGATGATAACAATCACAAGAGAGAGGGGAAGGTGACGGGGGAGGGAGGGGTGAATAAAATGTAAATACATAATGTAACTTAAATGACTGATATGATTTTTACGAAATGACTCTGTGTTAATTAGTTATATTTGAGCAAAAGCAAAGCTGAACTTTATTTAATAAGTAGAAAAAAAAACAAAATATTTGAGCATATTAACTGGCGTTAAAATGGCTTATTAGTAATTTAAATATACTGTAATACAATAAAATACAATAAAAAGCTAAGTCTTAAGCAAACATTATTTTACTACTACTACTACTACTACTACTACTACTACTAATAATAATAATAATAATAATAATAATAATAATAATAATAATAATAATAATGACTTAATGCATATTTCAATATTTCAACACCACAGATACATCACCATGTAAATCCTAAATATGCTGTTTCTTGTTTCTGCTGCCTCTTGTTGTGCCCTCTGACATCCCCCACCCCCATCTCGCCGTTGCCGTTGCTCCTTCTGTTTACCCACAGATTCAGTCAATGAGTGTCGTCATCAGGGGGGACCATCGTGAAGACTGGGTCATTAAGAATGACAGCTCTGAAGAAAGAGAGAGAGGGAGGGAGAGAGAGGGTAAATGGTGATCCCTCCCAGAGCTCCCACTCGGCACTCTGAAGCGGTCTTCTCTCAGGTTCAGACCGGATTGCATCCCCTCTTTTTTTTCCAGAAGCCTCTCCTTCTCTTTTAGGACGCAATCTCCCACCCACCGCCATCCCCGCTGCACGCACACACGCGCACACCCCTCCAACGTGAGATTCATCTCCTTGGTTTTGACGGTTCGCCTCGAAGACGAGGTTTGCTTGTTTTGTTTTTTCTTTTAAGTCGTGCTTGTGATGGAAAGCAGAGAGGAGATGGTGATGCTGGCAGAGGGAGGTCAGCTTGGCAAGAGCGGCTCTAATTTGTCGGAAGCCATCGGGAGCCCCGTGCGAGAACCACCAGGCAAGCCGGGCCACAGAGGTTGTCTGAGTCCAGGAGCTGCACCCTATTCCCGCGACAGGAGCGATCTAGCGGCGGAGGATAGCGCACGGAGAAATATGAGCGCCGACGCAAGGCTGGTTGGCACGTCTACCTCCGGAGAGAGGCACCAGGCTGACCAACATCACAAAGACGGCAGCAGCTCAGACACAGAGTCGGACTTCTATGAGGAAATTGATGTCAGCTGCACGCCTGAAAGCATGGACTACCCAACAGCTAAAGGTAAGCTGTGTGGGTGCAGGTTGGATTGTATGCTATTGCAATAAACATATTGGCACTGTAGGGTGGAACAGAAAATCGAATATTTATGCTCAATGAAACAGATCCAGGGTCTGCTTCAGGTTCAAGCACTGCAGCTGCAGTCGGTGCTATACAGCTATTCTGTCAGCTGATCGGTGTGGCTGCAAACGCTGAGGTGACACCCACAGTGTAACCTGACATTTCCCTCACTGACTTTGACAACGAGTTACTCGTACTGCAAATGTGCCTATGGGCTACTTCACCAGGAAAAAATTGGAGATTCAAGAAAAAATTCTGTCAATTGGTTTGGCAGCTGTGAAGGTGCAAGCACCCACTGCTCAGTTTATTGTGAATATCATTCTGTGTGAAATCTTTATGAATAAACATTCATACATGAAACATTTGGAGTAGCAGACCTCAGACTAAACGAATGGTAAAGTAACAAACGAATGAAAACAATACAGTTTAAGTATTGATTATTTTCAACCAAGGGAAATTATTGTTCATATCAAATCAATATATCGTGGAAAATACCTTTAGAAAAAAATAATAATAGTGGAAATTGCATCTTAATTTAAAAACTACACCAAATGAGAAGCTAAGCGAGCAGTCAGGATGTCTCTTATTTTTCTAAAAGTCAAACAAATAATGGAGTTAGCCTGCTAGTCTTCAAATGGCAGCGAATGAAATAAATAAAGCGTTTCGATTTGTTTTGGGTCCTGTTTAAATTGTAAATGTGTGCGTTTTACACCTGATTCTAATTAAAATATGCTTATTCTCTGTTTTTGGTTCAGGTCGAAATGGGGATTCTCCAAGCCACCCGAACGAGTGCGGTACTGAGCCGAGTAAGAATGTCCCGGGTCAGGGCTCTCTGTCTTACGCAGCAGATCAGATTCGCCGGTACCGAACAGCATTCACGCGAGAGCAGATAGCACGCCTGGAGAAGGAGTTTTACCGGGAAAACTATGTGTCCAGGCCGCGGAGATGCGAACTTGCGGCCGCTTTAAATCTACCCGAAACCACCATCAAAGTAAGATTTCATCTCAGGGAAGTGGGACTGAATTAGGCCTCTTGACCATCAATACGTACTCTGTGAGCTTGTGTTGATGTATATCAAATCCACGTCGAGTGCAAAATGGTCAGGCTTACGTAAATGACTGCCAGTGGTTTATTTGTGTATGGATAGAAATAATCTCATGGAAAATAATCTCATAGAGTAAAATCAAATTAGTCCATACAGGAAACAAAGCAAAAAAAAAAAAAAAAAGATTAAGAAGCAGGTACCGCGTTATGTAGCCACAGGTCATATTTATTTATTTACTTGGGTTGGCATTTTTTGATTGGATGCTAATCAAATGTCACGCAGTCCACAATAAATAAATAAATAAATTACAGTAACAAGTTTCTCCAACCCAAATCCAAATATTGTCATGAGTAAAAAAGCCAAACATTATCTACGCATGTGCTTGTGTTGTTTCAGGTCACGGGGGGGATTGTGGTTAATATTTGATCCGCTGTGTCTCCTTCACAGGTGTGGTTTCAGAACCGCAGGATGAAAGACAAACGGCAGCGTCTGGCCATGACTTGGCCTCACCCCGCCGATCCGGCCTTTTACACCTACATGATGAGCCATGCGGCTGCCACGGGGAACCTGCCCTACCCCTTTCCATCGCACCTGCCGCTGCCCTACTACTCTCACCTGGGCGTCGGGGCTGGCTCAGCTCCTGCAGCCGCCCCTTTCTCAACCCCCTTGCGCTCGCTCGATAGTTTCCGGATGCTGTCTCATCCCTACCAGAGGCCCGAGCTCCTGTGCGCCTTCAGACACCCTTCCTTGTACTCAGGTCCCACTCACGGCCTAGGTCCCGGAGGAACTCCGTGCTCCTGCTTGGCGTGTCACTCCAGTCAGTCCAACGCCATCTCAACCAGGCCTTCCGGCTCGGACTTCGCTTGCTCCCCAACAAGCAGGACTGACGCGTTTGTCACTTTCACGCCTTCAGTGCTCAGCAAATCCTCATCTGTGACACTGGACCAGAGGGAAGAAGTGCCTCTGACCAGATAAAAAATAACTCTTGCTCCACATAAGCCTTTAACCACAAGCTTTTTAACCCTAACGTATTATATGATCAGGACTGAAACAGCATGAGGGGTGGGGTAGCCAGTATATAAACAGTGAAAGCCAGTTTATACTTGGGGAGAAGAGAAAGCTCTCCAGCTATAAGACGCGCAAAAGACCTGCTGTTATTGAAATATAATAATCCCATCGAAGAGCCGGGGACATTGGGCTGAAATAAGACTGCGTAGACAGAAATTCAGATTTGATTTCTACAAGATTATTGTGACTGCTATGAGAGAGAGAGACGGGGAGAGATAAGCGGGGTGGTCCAGAGAAACGTTTAAATCTCCGTGATTGATGACGTTAAGGTCTTGATCATTATTTTATGCGTCCAAAAATCAGCCTACACGTATTGTTAGTTACGCGAGAATGATGCTTTCCATCTCTCTTTTTTAACAAGGGGATTTGTTAAAAGACTGCGGCCGTCTCATTATAGCTAGCTCTCCACACCGGGGCCCTCTCGACGGCCCGGGCCGAAATGTGCAGATGCTAGTAAAATTATTAAGTGATGTATATGTAAGACCGGGTGAATTTTGAGTGTTGAATTAATGATAATGCCAGGAAGGTTTCAGGCAAAAGGTAACAAGGCGCCGAGGGAACGGATTACCACAGCCGGCACGATCTGAAGAGGGGAGGGGAGAGAAAGATCAGAAAGAGGATGGAGAGAGGACAATCAAAAAAGAAAAAAAAAGAAATGAGCATTTTTAAGGCCACCCAACACTCTTTCTTTCTCTGTTTTCTCCCATGACCGTAAAAGAGACAGTGTGATTAAATTATGCCCACGGGCCTTCTTTAAAACCGTTTTTCGCTTTGCACTGTTACACCAGTTTAGCATTTGTGTGGGAATACGGAATAATGTGTGACTGATTTTTTTTTTCTTCGTTGTTTTACTATTATTATTATTTTATTATAAAACTTTATTTTTGGTTCGCTATTTTTTTTGTTTGTTTGTTTTTGTTTTTTTGTGTTATGACTGGGTTGTCCTTATCGTTTAATTTGCAAATAAATACTGTCAAAGCATCGAAGGCGTGCGGAGTGATTTATACGCGTTTTTCGGATCCATTTAAATAGCCAATAACCAATATGTCACTTTAAACTCACGGCAATAGAATAAAACTGATTCAAGCAAATTTTTGTTGTTGTTGTTGTTTTTGCTTTTCTCCCGGTCATCTTCTTTGGTTTGGTTTCGTTCAGCTTCAAGCGTATTGAGGATCTTCTCCATTCACAATTGGTTCAGGTCCGCCAGTCCTACCGCCTCAATAATAACACTAATTTTGTTCTCAAGTGGTAGCTGTCAAAACACCAGAGTGCGCCCCCTCCTATTTCCTGATGGGACCGTTAGATTGACCGTGACAGTTAAGTGGTCCCCGGGCTCCGTTAACGCCACTCATATTTTTTTCTGCGACCACTTAATAGACGCGACAGAATTAGGTGTCTGCAGATATTGGAAATGCAAAGAGATCGATCATTCGGAGAGGAGCGCCAACAATCAGCGGGATCTTAATTGGCCGCATTTGACCGGGCCCGAGCAAATTAAAAGAGTTTTTGGAGCGTAATAGGATTGGCTAAGTGCTGCGGCCCGCGGAGAGACACACAAATCACCCTTTAAAGGGAGTTTTAGGTCGTGGATTAGAAGTCATTGCAGTGATGGGCGAGAAAGTGTGTGGTATTTCAATTGGGCCTCGAAGTAAAAAAAAACAAACAACAACAACAACAAACGAAAAACTGGCCAATTGCGTGCTTACAAAATCGAACATGAAGATTTTATTTATTTTTATTTTTTAAAAAATGCTTCAAATTTAGGTGACATTCCTCGAGCCTTTATTCTGATTATTCCGAAATATGAAGATTTTGGAATTTGAAATATATGAAATATGAAGATTCCTGCCAGTGAAGCCAGACACCAAGAAGAACAATTTAGTTACCAAATATGATTTTAGGTACAGTGTTTTTTGTTTTTGTTTTTTATTAGACTCGTTCTAATCAAACTCTACTGCACCCACAAAAACGGCACCCTTGAGTCCAACCCCCCCC